GGTGCTGCTAACGTTACTAGCTCTCCTCCTGTTGGTTAGCCGTTAGCAGTGCTGCTAACGTTACTAGCTCTCCTCTGATTGGTTGTTTACAATGAAACATGATCAGAGACTAGAAACACATGTTCTACTGAGTCAGTAACACTTTATTTACACTCTGATGGTTAATGATGAAACTTTATTTACACTCTGATGGTTAACGATAAAACTTTATTTACACTCTGATGGTTAACGATAAAACTGTATTTACACTTATATATCTGTTCTTATTAAATGGTCGTTCTGGTGTTTCTGTCTCAGCCATGTCTCCGGTCCTGGCGGGCTTCCTGGGAGCTGGTGTTCTGGTCTTGGTGGTGGTGGTTCTGGTTCTGCTCTGGTCTTTCTGTCAGCGTCGCTACCTGCGCAGCTCTGGACGCTACAAGCTGCACGGCGACCGTTACTGCGACACCGAGGACCCCCCGTACAAGTTCATCCACATGCTGAAGGGCATCAGCATTTACCCAGAATCCCTCAGCAGCAGCAAGAGGATCGTGCGAGGAATCCGGCGCGCGGACCGCTCCAACCGCGACGGAGAGCGCGGCTCCACCGCCGCTGGCGCTGGTGTCGGTGCTGCTAGCGGCTCTGGGCGGGGCATGGTGCTGGTGGACGCTGAGAACAACATCCTGGATGTCCCGGGGCAGTTACAGATGAGTCACCTCGTCCCCCCCGCCGGGCCGGTGGAGCGGGCCTTGCCAGTCCGCGCCGACTACTGCTGCCTGGACAGCAGCTCGGCCAGCAGCAGCCAGACCAGCAGCAAGACGGCGTCCCCCTTCAGCCCCGCCTCCTCGCAGACGGAGCCCGAGCCCAGTCTGGGCGCCATCAGCCTCACGGTCGACTACAACTTCCCCAAGAAGGCCCTGGTGGTGACCGTCGTCGGGGCCCGGGGGCTCCCCGCCATGGACGAGCAGGCGGGCAGCTCGGACCCGTACGTGAAGATGACCATCCTGCCGGAGAAGAAGCACCGCGTCAAGACCCGCGTGCTGAGGAAGACCCTGGACCCGCTGTTCGACGAGACCTTCACCTTCTACGGCGTGGCCTACAGCTCGCTGCCCGAGCTCACGCTGCACTTCCTGGTGCTCAGCTTCGACCGCTTCGCCCGCGACGACGTCATCGGCGAGGCCGTGGTGCCGCTGAAGGGCGTGGACCCGAGCACGGGCCGAGTCCACCTGAGCCAGCAGATCACCAAGAGGAACATGCAGGTGAGTGACAGACGATCCATCTGTCCATCACAAACGTACCTGTCCATCCTCTGGGTACCCCTCAGGTTACTGTTAGTACCGTTAGCTTCTAGCACCGTTAGCTTCTAGCACCGTTAGCTTTACCAGTTAATACAGAATAATAACAATACTATCAAAGTATGGTGTATTATTAAGTAGTATTTAGCCTAATTGTTAAGTATATTTAATATGAGTTCCACCTTTACATTATTAATGCATCAATAATTATAATCAAATTATAAATATATATATTTTTTTAATGGGCCATTCAGCAAGTATTCTTTTACTTTTGGTATATTTTGATGCTAATACTTTTGTACTTTTACTTAAGTAACATTTAAAATTCAGAACTTTTACTTGTGAGTATTTTTACACTAAAACTAATTAAGACCTTTAATTAAGCTTAACATTTCTGATGTTCTATATGAACAATTAATTAATTAATTGTTTAGAATCCAAACTAAATGTTGATAATAAGTTCATCTTTATGTCTCAGAGATGTTTTTCAGAGGAAGTTGGAACTAAATCGTGAATTATTTTATTTATTTTTATCTGAGAAAATGACCAAAAACAAAATCATTTCAGCAGAAATGACAGACTGTGTGTCCACTGTGACTCTGCTGAATGTGTGTGTGTGTCTCTTGTTGTTGTTGTTGTTGTTGTTGTTGTTGTTGTCTCCAGAGGACAGCCTGTCTGTCTGCTGCTCTGTCTTAATCTGAGAGAGAGAGACTCTGATATCATCACAATGAAATGTGCTCATCAGCTGTTTGTGACATCATCTGTGTGACATCGGAGGGTTAAAAATGTTGTTTATCTTTAGTTGATACACTATTATATGTATATATTAGTGCTGAGCAAGTTATCGTGTTAAAGCATTCATTAATTAACGCTGACAATTATATTATCGCGCGTTAACGCAGTTTTTTTATTATTATTAAGTGGACATTTTTAACACAAGAACTGGGCAGCAAGCGGTGAACAGCTGTTTGTGTGGCGTCACTTCCTGATGCTGCCGCCCCCCCCCCCTCAACCGGGTGATACGCCCACTCCGGAACCCCCCTTCACTCCGTCACCGTCGGTCCCTCCTGTCTCACACATATACACAGACACACACACACACATGCATGCTCGCGATCGTCTCGTCACAGGATCGATCGTGACAATATCAAAACACATATTGTGGTGTGTTTCAATGAACATATAATCACATGAGAACAAACTGCTCTTAACTCAACTCTTTATGAGCATAACTTCCTCATGCAGGTTACTGCCACACTACAGACTACAGGTTCCCTTGCTTCACCTACAGTCCCCTGGGTCCTAAGGCCCTCCTTGTACAGCTTCTTATCACCCTCTATGTACCAACGTACATTTATAACAAATACCACACATATTACGGTAATCAGCGTTGCATATGTGTCTGACCAAAATACCAAAAAAAGAAATGATTCATTTAAATTATTGTTTTAGAGTTTTGTTTGTAATATGTATAATAAGCATCATTTAGTATCACTACTGAGAATTTAACAAACATAAAAACATGACGTAGATATGTTTGTAGTTTTCACAGTCAGAGTGTCTCCTCCTTGTTGTCACATGACTGTTGGTCTCACATGAATCAATCATGACATCATAGTTTCACAGTTTAATGTTTTTACACTATCTGGTTAAAGTGAACTCTTTATTAGAGGAGAGATTTTAAATAACTTTCAGCTTCGTTTTGAGTGTTCGTCAGACATGATGTGTTCAAGGACCGTCGTAAAGATGAATCCCTGATGAGCTGTTTTCCAGCTTCTTGCTCTGATGAACGTGTTAGTTTTGTCGATTGTTTAAATAACCCTTTGTGTGTTTCAGTGTGAGAGTCGTGGAGAGCTGCTGGCGTCTCTGTCCTACCAGCCGGTGTCTCACCGTCTCAGCGTGGTCGTCCTGAAGGCCCGACACCTCCCCAAGATGGACATCACCGGCCTGTCAGCCAGTGAGTCCAACCGCCGAGGATTCTGGGAGTTTTATCTGCTTTAAATATTCACAGATTTTAATTTTTTTGTCTTTGCCTTCGGATGTAATATTAACTGTTTCACTTTTGTGCCCCGAGACTTAAACATAAGAACATAAAAAATACATAAAACATATTTAGAGAATGAAATTAAATATTGCTTTATGAATATTCAGAATATTCTTCCATGTGTTGTTGTTATTATTATAATTATTATAGAGGAGAAGTTTTATGTCCTGAAGGTTGTTGGTTCGCTGCCCACATTTCTCCTTTTCTCCTGTTTAACCCTCGAACGACTGTTTAATGAAGCTCTTATTGTGAAAGGAAAATAATCGCAATAATCACAATGAATAGATGTATAAAAAGACATTTTAATATCGATTTATAATTCAATGTCAACATTATTAATGAAGCTTTGAAGCCTCAAACTGAAGCCCTAAAATAAGTGGATTATTTCTGAAGATCTGCAGCTTTTTATTTGTCGTGTGAAACAGAATATTTTTAGGGTTTTTGTCCCTTTTCGAGCTTTGGGAGATAATGGACAATTTTATTATTATTATTTATTCATATTATTTAATATTGATGATTAATTATTTATTCATATTATTTATATTATTATTTATTATTTATATTATTATTTATAATTTATATTATTATTTATAATTTATATTATTATTTATATTATTATTTATTATTTTAGTTTAAAGACAAAACGATGAAACATTAGATTAAATATGTCTTTCTACTTCGATGATTTTTTTTTTCCAGTTTTGTTTTTGTTTAACTTTTTTGACGAATGAAGTTTTGTCCTCACTTGGTCCTCAGATCCGTACGTGAAGGTGAACGTGTTCTATGGACGTAAGCGCATCGCCAAGAAGAAGACCCACGTGAAGAAGTGCACCCTGAACCCGGTCTTCAACGAGTCCTTCATCTACGACATCCCGCCGGAGCTGCTGCCAGAGATCTCCGTGGAGTTCCTGGTGGTGGACTTCGACAGGACCACAAAGAACGAGGTTCTGGGCCGCCTGCTGCTGGGCCTCACAAGCCCTGCCCCCTCCGGAGCCTCCCACTGGAGGGAGGTCTGTGAAAACCCCCGCCGGCAGATCTCCAAGTGGCACAACTTGAACGAGTACTGAAGGAGGAGGAGCCAGAGGAACCAGTGAACACCACTGGGAGATAAAGACTCGAGTGTACAGCGCACACACACACACACACACACACACACACACACACTGATCACAGGTAACCCCGTCCACACCTGGTACTAACATGATTCTTTCGTGATCTGGTCTCAGATCAGGTCTCTGTTCGCTGTTTAAACCAGCGGCTGGTAGAACCAAACCACTTCCTGTGTGCTGTGAGTAGAAGAAGAAGAAGAAAGAGGGTTCAGTTCCGTCCACTGTGAACAATTAATGTCGGTCCGCATTTCTGCAGACTTTGCCCTCAAGGGAATTACCCATAATTCATAGCATTGTGACGGGTAGAGGGGTCACCACCGGAAGACTGAGACGTGTAAATAAATAATAAATTAAGAAGGTAAACCCTTCAAATCAAGGAGTAAATAAATAAAATAAAGAAGAATTAAATAAATACCCACAGTTGTACACAGCATGTTATGACGTCATGGTAACGTGATGTCACACTCAAAAAAACATTTGTTCAGGGCCTGAGGGTTCAGGGCCTGAGTAATAAAGTCTTTAAGAATGACTTAAGATCTCTATGAACTCAAACACACTGTAAAGATCTAAAGGTTTATTTGTCAGAGTGAGTTACAGCGCTGCTGGTCTCATATCTACTTTAATGTGAACACACATAAGGTTACTCGATTATGGGTCATAACTGAGGTCATCACACGTCTCACTCGTAGCTCTGCTGGTGGCTGAAGTCTGTCTCCTGGAGATGAATCAATGTTTACTTCCTTTACAGTTGATGTGTTTAGACTTCACAATAGTTGTGCAGAACAGAATAAGCATTAATAAGAAAAGGAAAGCTTAGTGTCCGTCCTCCTCAGAGCCTCTAACCGCGACTTCAGACGCCGCTCACTGATCGCTCATTAACAGCTGCTGGTGAAGACCACACGGTCAGCAGCACCTGTAACCAGTTAGTGGTAGTGACTGCTAACAACCAATCAGGGAGTGAACACGGTGTGAGCGTCATCGCTTCCAAACATCAATGAAACGTAGTCGTGAGGACATGGTCTCAGTCTGACCCCTCAGATCACATTCTGATCTCAAGACGTCAAGACTCATGTCAACACCAGGTGTGAACGGGACAACTCTTTCTCCCTCTCCCTCCCTTTCTCTCCCTCTCCCTCCCTATCTCTCTCTCTCTCCCCCTCCCTCTCTCTCCCTCTCCCTCCCTCTCTCTCCCTTTCTCTCCCTCTTCCTCCCTATCTCTCTGTCTCTCCCTCTCTCTCTGTCTCTCCCTCTCCCTCTCTCTCTGTCTCTCCCTCTCTCTCTGTCTCTCCCTCTCTCTCCCTCTCTCAGACTGTCCTCTTGTGTGTCGACGGGGGGAAGGAATGCTCAAATATGATATAAATAAAGAAGAAGAAGAATGTTCCCTCTTTGCTGTTGTTGTCATGCAGTTCATCGCATGTCTGTCCGAAGAGAAAAAAAAAAAAAAGTCCAAATGAAGAACTGCTGACATCACACTGACTGATTGACAGGACGATGATGCAAATTTAAGTACTCACTAACGCTGCATATAACTACTATATCCAAGTATAAGTACTCCTCAGTAGGACCCAATAAGAAGCAACGCTAGCGGACATGTTCGGGCGGGAGCGGTCGCTCCGGTTTGGCAGCATGTTCCCGGTCTCTCTCCTCGGTCCTGAAGGACTGAACCCTGATCCTGGAGGATCCCTCATCTCCTTGTGGATTTACAAACTGTTCACATCTTCAAGCAGACTGAGAGACTCTGTAAAATACTTTGTAACGTGAGGTTTCATTTACAAAATACTCTCAGCAGGAAGCAGCTGTGGCGGCTGATTGTTTATCATGGTCCGGACTCGTTAGGGTCTGGACTCATTAGGGTCCGGACTCGTTAGGGTCTGGACTCGTTAGGGTCTGGACTCGTTAGGACCTGGACTTGTTATGGTCTGGACTCGTTAGGACCTGGACTCGTTATGGTCTGGACTCGTTAGGACCTGGACTCGTTAGGACCTGGACTCATTAGGATTTGGACTCGTTAGGACCTGGACTTGTTAGGATCTGGACTTGTTAGGATCTGGACTCGTTAGGACCTGGACTCGTTAGGACCTGGACTCATTAGGATTTGGACTCGTTAGGACCTGGACTCGTTATGGTCTGGACTCGTTATGGTCTGGACTCGTTAGGACCTGGACTCGTTAGGATCTGGACTCGTTAGGACCTGGACTCGTTAGGACCTGGACTCGTTAGGACCTGGACTTGTTAGGATCTGGACTCGTTAGGACCTGGACTCGTTAGGACCTGGACTCGTTAGGATCTGGACTCGTTAGGACCTGGACTCGTTAGGACCTGGACTCGTTAGGACCTGGACTCGTTATGGTCTGGACTCGTTATGGTCTGGACTCGTTAGGACCTGGACTTGTTATGGTCTGGACTTGTTATGGTCTGGACTCGTTATGGCCTGGACTCGTTATGGTCTGGACTCGTTAGGGCCTGGACTCGTTATGGTCTGGACTCGTTATGGTCTGGACTCGTTAGGGCCTGGACTCGTTATGGTCTGGACTCGTTAGGGCCTGGACTCGTTATGGCCTGGACTCGTTATGGCCTGGACTCGTTATGGTCTGGACTCGTTAGGACCTGGACTCGTTAGGGCCTGGACTCGTTAGGGCCTGGACTCGTTAGGGTCTGGACTCGTTAGGGCCTGGACTCGTTAGGGCCTGGATTCGTTAGGATTATGATTATGCTAAACTGCGGTAACATATAAAAATGTTCGATGTAAATTAACGGGAATAAACTGTAAATAATTTTAGTTATTTTCTGTATTTACCAAAAAATAGTGTGATAAGAACTTTAATTGAATTAAATAATTAACTGTAATATGTAATTATTAAATGTAACTCAGTTGGGCATCACTTTAAAACAGTTACTCTGATGTCATAAGTGTCAAAATAATAATAATTCTTTCAACGACATCAGCTGATCATAAAAACCAACTATAAATGTTTCAGAGTTTGAACCCTTTAAATGTTAGTTTACATGATGATGTTTGTTCATGAAAACATACAACATGTATGACCCACATCACTGTGAACCGATGGAGAGATTAAAGCATCAACAGAAGAAAAGCTCCTCGTGATGCACAAGAGTTAACGTTAGCTTCCCCTTCAAAATAAAAGACTTCCTCCTATCAGACCCGTTACAGAGCACTGCTATCAGACCTACCTTTGCTAAATGTTAGCCGCCACAGCTTCACCTCCACTTCCCGTCTGTCCGTCTCACTTCCTTTGTCCTCTTAACTTTACTGTGAAGGATCCTGAGAGACCTGAAGGATCTTCAGTTCCTCTGAGTGTGTTTTTATAAAGACGCTGATGTTTGTCTAAAAAAGGTTTTAAATGTCCGACATGTTTAAAGTTGTCCTTTAAAATCATCAGCTGACATTTAACAGTGAATCCTGGAGCTTTTATTGTGAAGGAGTCGATGATGATGAAGAGTGACTGTAGATTTGTACAGATGAAGATGTTTGCTGGTCCTCAGAGCTTCGTGTGTGTGAGCGCCCCCTGCTGTACAGACCTGGATGCTAACCTCGTTAACAATAAATGGACGTGAAAATAAAAACAAGTGTCGTCTGTTTGAAGTTATTCATAATATTTAATATGCTGTTTATGTACTGCTCATTTACATCAACAAATACATTCATATTTGTGTTATATTTATTTCTGACATAAAAGTACATGTACACAACTACTGTACTGGAGGACAATTCTGAGGTACTTGTACTTGTGTTTTTCTACACTCCACTAGAGAACATGATGTTAGAATATAATCAAACAGCAGCTGGTGGCAGTGATCAATAAAATCAGTGAAGAAGAACAGGAAGTGACGTCAGACGCACCCTCACCTGTCCAGCTGATGAGTTGATTGATGGACAGACTGACGTCATGTGTTTGTGGATTTAAATGATGACAGTTTGTGAATCTGTTTATCTACTTGTCACGGCCCACGAGCCGGCTCTGAAGCCGGGACACGAGTGAGTTATGAAACATAATACGAGATGGACCTCAGTGTGGTGCTGGAGCACGAGACGGGGTGCCAGGAAGGCGGAGCTCTGTAGTGGGAGCGCACCGGGCCCAGGCGCCGCCCCACCTTGAGCCACAACAAATACAATGAATAATAATAAACTATACAAATTGTCAATATTTGTGTTTTTGAAATATGGAATCACCAGTAATATGTGTAAAATATGATATCTGCGGTAAATATAGGCTTTTCCTGCACGTCCTCTCCGCGTGTGCACGTCCTCTCCGCGCGTGCACGTCTCAGCAGCTCTGGGGCGCTGGAGAAACTGCACAAAAGAGGCGGGGCTATGAAGCAGTTTAGCCAATTGCTGATTAAAGATATAAATGAGTGACATACAATTTAGCCAATCAGCGTGCTCAAATAGATTCCGCTGCGCGTTCCCGTCCGGACGAGTCTCTACAGGCGAGCGCGAGCACTGCTATTCAAAGGGTACATCTCAAGTCTCTTAATTGCATCCTCGTTTCCCTCACTTGTGTCCTTTCCTTGCGTTCTAGTCCCTCCCACCAGGGATGCATGGAGGAAACCATGCGAGGAGAG